GGCGGGAGGGGGCAGCCGTACCGAAGTCGGCCAGCTTCAGCTCGCCAGTGTCGCTGATCAGCAGGTTCTGGGGCTTGAGGTCACGGTGCAGGATGTAGCGCTGGTGGATGTAGGACAGACCACGCAGCAGCTGGAACAGGAAGAGCTGAGGGGGTGTGGCAGATGGGGGGGGGGGGGGGAGACGACAAGGCAGGGCTCAGCACATCACTACGGTGCGGCAGACCTCAGCAGCTCTAGTGAGGTAAAACAAGTGAAAGCTCAAAAAAATGACGTAATATAAAATAACACGTAAATAACAACAGGAAATCACAGGCCTGGCAGACGGGTCGGTTAGCTAGTTAGCATGCGCGACCTGTCACAGACAAGACTGACAAGTTTAAATGGCCGTAGCCTGGCAGAGTTCTGCAGAGCGATGCGTTTAATGTCCTGCCTCCTTTGTCGAGCTGGTTTGTCGAGGTGTGCGGGCTTTTGCCCCCCCGTTTCACGCTACCGACTGCCCCCGGCCTGGCTCTCCGATCTCGGCGTCTGCGATGGTTTAAAAGCCATGTCGGCGAGCAGCTGGGAATAGCAGGGCTATTAGTGGGTGGCTGTTTACAGTCTCCTTTTGGGAAGGCTGCTTTGATAGTTTAGTGAGAGTTTATTCTGTAAAAGTGAGGTCGCTGAGCCTTAAGTGAACGTCTTATCGCAGATCTCCAGCTTGGCAGATTTATCCAGAGGCACCAGGGCCCTGTACTACCAAGCGGGGATACTGGCTTATCGGGGTAACTTGTCGGATTTAAGGTAGTCTGGGCAAAATGTAAGTGAGCGAATATGAAGTCCATTTAAACTGCGGTACCTTAAATCCGACAAGTTGCCCCGATAAGCCAGTAACCCCGCTTCGTAGTACGGCCACAGGAGTCATCCATCTGGAATAAAACACGACTTGGGTCTGCAGCCTTAGCAATTCTATGCCTCTACAGTGAAATATATAATTCACAGATGAAAAAATATGATGCTTTTCGGTCGAGGCCCAGTGACCTGGTTAGACAGGCTGCCTTTAATTTGATTTTTACTCCAAAATCTAGAGGGAGTTTTTATAGTGCAGTGCCCTGAAGCCTTTACATCAGCCCGACGGTGCCAAGCTGTACAAGCACCTGGCAACCCGCCGTGCCCCAAGCGAGCCCTTGGGAGACACGGCGGACACGTCACTGCTTAATTATTCAATGACCTACTAAGCGGGCTCATGTTCTGCTCACATATTATGCAAAACACAGTGCAATGAAGACAAGTGACACTTTACAACAGCTTTACAACAGCTGAACGTGCCAATCCTCTAAGGTTAACTAGCTTATAGGGCTAATTCACCCAAGAGGTCAACAAATACATGCTAACTGATCATACTGGTAATCAGTCATGTCTGACACAGGAATTCCGGAATTCTCATGTTGATACTGGAATTTCCAGACCATGGGCTCTTTCCAACACCTACCTTCACATTATCCGGATGCAGACCACCAGGGTGTTTTTCCATGTACTGACACAGGTCTGTGTGCTGTAGGGGAGATACAGAGAGAGGGAGGGAGGGAAGGAGGGAGAATGAAAGTTTCAATCAGAGAAAAACAGCTCAGACTCTTTCAGCTTTCAAAAAGTATCCTACAAATCCATTGATGTCATATTGCTCCTTTATGACATTATTATAAGCATGATACAATGTATCACAATCATTATATCACCTATTTATACAGCCCCCTCTACTTTGGCCATGTTGCCTCAGTGTATCTAATGACAGCAATATCATAGACTGCCATAATTGTGGTTAAATAAAATGGCAGTAAAAGTGGGAAAAAACAGAAAAGAGGAAATAAAAGCTTTGAAAGTTACACAAGAAAGCTCTGGGGGTATGAGACCAGCTGGCCGTCAACGCCCCCATCTGGGATCCGAACGTTTCGTAAATGTAAAGTATGCTTCTGTTCAGCTCTCTGGTAGAGAAGCTGCTGATCACTGGCCGCATCTTGGTTTCCTCTTGGTTTAATCATCTCTGATTCATTTTTGAATTGAATTCAATGTAATGAATAAGAAGAGGTTGAAGAAATCTAGATGAAATGTTGATCTGTGTAACATGTTGAATATAAACATTCATTCACTCATTTAAGGTCAAGGTTAAATTCAAGGCCAAATTTATTTATATAGCACGTTTAAAATCAACCAAAGACCCATTAAAAGGACCAAAAGCCAATGAAAAAAAATACGTTTTTAAAGTAAACATTTATTGGATGCTCTTATTCAAATCTTAATGCGCGTTTTCTGGGATTTGAACCTAAGACCTATGTGTTGTTAGTACAAGGCAGCAGGCCTACTTGTCAAGCAAACACAGTACCTTCCCCAAAATATTCCCACTAAATTGGAAGCATAGAATTGTCCAAAACAGCTTGATATGCATAGAGGACGGATACATGCATCCAGCATGCCTGTGCCCCAGAGCACAAAGCAAGGTCCATAAAGGCACGGTTGGCTAAGTTTGGCGTGGAAGAATTTAACTGGCCCGTAAAAAGTGTTGACCTCAACCCCATCAAACACCTTTGCTCTGAACTAGAACCGGAGATTGCGAGCCAGGCCTTCACGTCCAACATCAGTGCCTGACCTCAGAAATGCTGTTCTGGATGACTGGGAAAAAATTCCCACAGACACACTCCAAAAACTTGTGGAAAGCCTTCCCAGAAGAGCGGCAGCTGTTATAGCTGCAAAGGGGGAACCAACTCCATATTATAGGGGGAACCAACTCCAAAATGATATGTATAGATTTAGAATGCGATGTCATAAAAGATCCTGCAGTGTAATGACCAAGTGGCCTAATACTTTTGTCCATATACTCCATGTATCCCCAGAGGGGCGAGGGTAATGCATCCCTGGTATTCACGCTGGCCTGTTCTCGGCAGGCAGCTACATGGGCTTCTTACTGTGTCAGGAGCTGGGCTGGCTGCAGTGTGTGAACACAGTGGCTGGTTTGGCAGGGGTGTGTGCTGAATACACAATCCCATAACCCCAGAGGCGTACAGGCACGCGGGTCTGACCATCTCAGTCTTATACAAAACCCAGATGTAAATAAGTACATGGATAAATAAACTCAACTCCATAAAAAATAAAGCAACAAACGTGAGTCTTTGTAATCCAGTCAAAGACAAGAGAAACGTGTGAGCAATCAGTAATAGGGGGGCAAAAATCTCGGATGGTTTAAAAGAGTTTTATCTTTTTACTCGTTTTTATTTCCCTCATGTTCCTGTGTGACCTGCTTTGAAATGGGAGATCTTAATCTTATTTCCACCACAAACTACTAGTTAAAAATGAATTAGCTGCTATGCACCCCTGTCACATGACGTTTTAATACAACATTAGCTTTTAGGCTCCATTAGTGTAATTCATCACAACAAGGGAAAGTATTATTATTTTAAAATGTCAAGGAGATTTCATTACATTTACATACTAAAAACAGCTATCAAACCCACTACACACTCACATCATGGAATTAAACGCTATGCCAGGGCCGGATCTGCTTTCGGGCGGAGGCTCTCGATTACGTCGATCGCTCACACTTACCACGTACTCGAAGACCAGAGTCAGCGTTTCCTTGGTGTGGATGATGTCATGGAGCAGTACAATGTTAGTGTGTTTCAGGCCTTTCAGAAGGGAAGCTGTGGAGAAATAACCCAGAAGATCAAAATTTCAACTGGAGAGTCCAAGATCTCGCCCATGGAAAATCTGAAGGGTTCAAGTTGGACATTTTCTGAGCAGCTATACTGTTTAAGGGAGGTGTGGTCCCAAAATGCTCTTCAAAATAGATCCCTAAGCAGTCGAACCTGCAGAACCTTCCGGCAAGACACACAATTAGTCTCCTAAGTCCCTTAGCTCAAAGAACCAATCAGACCTCCACTTTATCTCCCGGGGGGGGCGGGGGTGTCTGGCTCACTGACCTCTGCTACGCTTCAGATTCTGAGCAGGTTGTCCTCATTTAATCTTCAGAAGTCATCCATCTTTTTTTTTTTTTTAAAGAACACTTAAAACCAATTAGTAGATGAGAAACAACACATATCTCACTCACTCTTCTGTACAGCCTTGTACAGAGAAAACAACTCGATTAAGGCCTTTCATCAATTACACCGTGGAGAAGAAGCACGAGAGAGAGAAATGAAGATAATTATGGCTAACGCGGTATGAGAAAAGCTCTACAATATCATGGACTCACTCCTCTGTGAATATTATTTAAATGCACTTTCAATACGAACCACGATATATTCATGTACAATATCTCGTGCTTCCTGCCGCTGGCGTCAACAGTCCTCAATTCTCTTTTCATAACGTAAATCTCTGCTTCTTGCAGTAAATTTGTATAATTTATTTTCTTCAGAAAATGGATGACTAATTTTGAGTAATACTGTAGGTGAATGATTACACACGGCAACACTGCCTTTATGAAATACTGTCCTTGATTTTCGGCCTTCCACAGAGATTAACAGGAGAGTCTCTTTGTGAGAGAGTTTGTTCTGTTGAGGTTTTTTGTTATTTAGCACAAGAGACTGTCTGCGTGTGGAAGGCGGCAGGGGGCATTATTGAGCAAGTGCTCGTTAGTAGTAGACTGTGAGTACTGGGTTCTACCCATTTGTCTAGCAGGCCCCAGAAGTTGGGCTGAAGGGCGGAGCACTGGCACTGGAACTGGCACTGGAACTGGCACTGGCACTGGCACTGGCGTGTCCCCAACAGCTATGGCTCACCGGCCGCTTGCATAAAGCCGAGGTCGTCGCGGACACCCTAACACCTTCCACATGTCCGCAGATGCCACTGATTCACTTCCCAAATCTGATCATGGAGACCTGAGCATCTGAACACCACTGCTGAAGTGCTGAAAAACACTGCTTACATTTGCTGCACTGTCACTTTAAGCATAGACAGTACTTCCAGGCGCTAATTTCTCACTGTATACAGTGTGCCTGTTCACCGTTTGTCTAATGTAAAATTGATGTTGTTATGTAATTTATATATATGTTATGTTGACTTATTGTAGTCTTCCCACTGACTTCCCCTTAAATTATTGATTACTGAATATGACTTTTCCGCGCTATATAAATGAATCCATAACTCTGCCTTTAGCACTGTAATGTCTGTCTTGTTATGACTGTTGATCCGGGGCTCCAGGATGAACGTTATTGTCACTGCGTGCTTCCTCTGCTTCACCCGCCTCACACGTAGCACAATTTCACACTCTCTCCTCACAAGGGAGCCCCCCCCGCCCATTTAAAATTACAGATCTGTAATGAAGTTCCAGAAAGGTGATCCAACATCTGCAGCACATCACGCCCACCCTGCTTCCCCGATGCGACGCCTCGCGTGCTGTCAATCACCCAGACTGCCATATGGAGACAGCAGTAAAACATCATTTATTACAAGGATAGTCTGGCTGCCATTTTAATCACCTGACTCTCCGCTCGCTGTCTAAAGATTTATGGCTTATGAAAAGTGCCAAGTATTCGACCGAGAATGGCGGAGTTGAGAAATGGGGTGACAGAGACTGGGGAATACAGAGCTTTACTGTATAGTCAGTATACATCCTGTAAATCTTGGACGACCAAAAAAACTCAGGCGCAGCCAGAATAGTAAGTGCTCAGAATGAAGTGCCAGTTTCATAAAGTGTGAGTATCAGCAGTGCCCATCACAAGGAAAGCCGGGAGGCAGGGCGTGCACCAGCAGGCACAGGAAGTGAAGTGCACTTGGAAAGGTGGCATTGGAACGCACCTTCCCTTATGGCGGTGAACGGGGTGCCTTCTTCCTCCTGTAGCCGGATCACTTTCAGTGCAACCATCTTGCCATTCACCCTGGGATACGGAAACAGAACATTGCTGGATGAGAACTTGGGTGAGTTAAAAAAAAACACTTTCCATAGTTTTCAGAGTGGCTTATTTTGGAGGACAACTTATAAAAATAATACCAGATATAGCTACTGAATCCATTCCAGTGGGAAAATACTTTAAAATTATAAGTGAAAAATAGCTTAGATAATTCCAGTGATATCTGATTTGGACTATGTCTAACATAGACTATGTCAGTTGGCTTGATTTAGTAAATTTAGCTAAAGTACTGGCACTGTAAGGACACAGCTTGGCTCTGTTTTTTATACAGAATAAGGTACAATTTCTGCTCATTTACTCAAATTGTTGTTTCAAATGTGAAGCCCTTTGCTGGAGGCATCCGCAGTGGGCCCAGCAGGGAGTCGGAGCGGCCTCCATTGGGTTGCCAGTTCACAATGTGTAATAAGTGTAAAATCCACCCATCCATCAGGGCACGAGGCAGAGGACACCCTGCACCCACACACACACGCACACGCACACACACACACACGCAAGTTGGTCTTCCTATCTAAATGGGGACCGTCCTTTCTTTTCTATGGGAAAAACCCTGATCCCAATCACGACCCCCTTAACCCCTACCCATCCCTAACCTTAACCATAAGTAACCAACCCAAATCTGTGAATCTGCATTCACAGATTTTTATAAAACTGGGGTTATCCAAATGGGGACCTCAAATGATGTCCCCAAAAGTATGGACATTTCAGGTTTTACTATACTTTGGGGACAATTTGGTCCTCAAATGTGATCTATGCAAACCCCCCCCCCACACACACACACACACACGCACACACATGCACAGTCCATGTATTCACATCTTTGTGGGGACTCTCCATTCATTTCTATGACCATATCCCTTCACCCCTATCCCTAACCTTAACCATAAATAACCATAAATAAAAGTCTTTTGGCATTTTTCATTTTTTGATTGCAGTCACAGGTTTTTATACAATTGAGGTTATCCTTATGAAGATCAGAAAAATGTCTCTACAAGGTAAAAAATTACAGGATTTGACCACATTGTGGTGAAATCTGGCCGGCGCAACGTAATAATTACAAAAATGGCAGCATTTCTCAAGTGGTGCATTGTGACCCAAAACTGGGTTGTGAGACTATTGTCAGTGGGTCAAGGAGTATGTGCTTAAAATATATATATATTGGAATACCCTGCCTCAGGTGACAACTTTTATCGTGAATCTGAGTGGTATTGTACTGATAAGGAACAGTGTGGGTCTTCAGGCTAATCGAGCAGAGAACCAATGCACTACAGGTAATTCATAGCTATGTAACATGGGAGAATATGCAAATCGAACCCCTGGAGCCCTGGAAGTGTGAGACGGCAGTGCTGTCCACCGGACTGACATATCTATTATCTGTGACCGGAGGGTTGGTGGGTCTGAGGTCCAGGGGGTGCCCAGGAATACTGAGTACAAAATGTATGAAATGCTTTCGCTGCTTCAGTGGATGAAATATTGCGCTGATTTGGGGGAAAAAAGGCACAGAGCAGAGAGTAAAGCCAGTGCAGCAGCAGAGCATGTGTGCAGTGTGACATGAGGACAGGCCAGGATACCACTTCGCGTATGGATACAGTATGTGTGGCATAAGCTGGTATAAAAGGTTTATTCAAACACACTTACTTGCTCTTCCCTTTGAAGACGGTGGCGTATGAGCCCTCACCCAGCTTCTCCAGCTTTTCATAGGAGTCCGCCTTGCCAAACTTGGGGCTTGTTGGCTGTTACACAATGACAGCGGGTTGCAGAGGGAAACACACAACTCCAGCCCACCCGCAGTGTCCTCAAATACCCGGTACAGACATTTGCCCCAGCAGTTCAAAGGAAAAACACTATATCTGTACATAAATAAACTTTCGAAATCCAAAGTTTTGGCCAAAAAACAACAGCACTAACGTGTTCATGGAATTTTCGCTCATGGGAGTTTTACTTACACAAAAATGTTCTGAGGGCAGAATGAAAAATGATTGGTTCAGTGAAATAAACAATCAGATTGCAGAGGAGGTGGATCCAGGCAACTAGTGGAGGCAGGACCAACCAATCAGATCTCTTGGTCCCACCTCCTTTAGTTGCTTGGACCCACCTCCTCTACAATCTGATTGGTTATCTCTCTGAAGCAATCATTTTTTCTGAGCTGGATTTTTCCTAGTACATTTTTGTGTATGCCCTGCACTTTGCATCCCCTTTCTTTGAGCGAATGCCCGGTCCTGAACCGCGATCAGGAGGGACTGGACTAGAGCTCACTGTCCCTGCTGCAGATCACAGCAGAGCTATGACCAGTTCCTGCGAAACCACACCGTGCAGCTCTGCTTACGCTGCAGAATAAAATTATTATTTAGGAAGCATTTTGTTTGTGCTGTGAGCAATTCTGATGTTAGAGCAATTTGACTGTGCCAGACTGCAGTCTCATGGGTTTTTACTGCCAGTGATATGAGCTTTATCCTGAAACGCTCCTTTCAGGGTACAGAAAATTCAGACCTGAACACTGAAACACGGACTTAAGAGTATGTTAAAAAATTTCCCCAAAAAATTATTGTACTAATAACAAAGTAGCTGACAATAAAGTTTAAATGATATTTCCTGTTTTAGAATACAAATTTAAGCTTCCTGACTTCCATAATTCATCTCCACAGTAACACTGCTGTTATATGTTCTGAGTTCATAGGCGTCCTCGTGTATGCCTGTTGTATCTCAGTATCAGTTGTTCTGAGTTCATAGGCGTCCTCGTGTATGCCTGTTGTATCTCAGTATCAGTTCCAGCCTGGTATGCTCCTTCTCTCTCCCCCAGGCCTGGAAATCTCTGCATTGAGCAGTCAGCTGAGCACGAGGTGCACAGCTGGGTACCTTGGCTCAAAGGGCGCCACCACCAGCTGACCAGCTGACCAATCATAATGAAGCATTTTAGTCAGTGGCATCGATGAGCCAAACTTTTAACGGCTTGAAGGGCCTAGAATGCTTTTGGTGCCCCAGAACAGGCACATGCTCCTCCTGTGTTTTTCATGACTCTGGCACGCACGTGGCACAGCCCCCGCCTGTGTCGGTCCGTCTCCTTATCCACAGCCAATCCCTTACTCCGGAGGAAGCTAATCTCTGATCGTCTCTGCACTTCTCTACTCTCACAGACGCACCTCTGTTCAAACGCACAGCTGTCCTCCAAAAGCAACATGACCGATGCTGTCAGTAATAAAACATTCAGCATTATGCCGCACCCACCCCCCCTCTCCAAAAGAAAAAAAACAGCCTTGCCTGGACATTTCATAAAGTCAGTTTTTTTCTGTCTGTGTCACTTTAGTGGAATTTAAGTTTGGGCTGCATAATGAAGCGGGATTTGGGCCCACGGCAGCTAGTGGGCAGTGACTGCGTCAGAAAATGAATCCTTTTAAGAAAAAAAATAATACTAGGGTATAACTAAGGGTTCTGCATACATAATGCATCTCCTGCCTGCGAATGAATCTGCTGTCTTATTATCGGACTTTTGATCAGACACCTCTTACAGTGAAGGCTTCCAGGTTATGCATTAAGTCACAGAAAAATATAAAGTTTCAAAAACTTAGACTCACAGAAAATGACTGTCCAGAAGGAACTGATTAGTTTATAAAACTGCATACTTGTGGACTAATGGGACACCAAGTACATTTTGGTTGTAGATTCCCAATTAATGTAATTTATCTTTAAAAAATATACCTATATTTCTGCACTCTACTATATAATGAATCAAATGAATCAAATTTTTAATTTCAATTACAATTTCGGCTGCCAACGATTATCAAAATGAAATAATTTTGTTGTTTTTTAGTTCAATAACGCACGATATTTCCAAAGTTAGTCCAAAGTTATTTGGTCAGTACTGACCAAAATAATCGTGATTATGATTTCTCCAGAATCGGGCAGCTCTACAATATTAAAAAAAAAAACAGTCTGGTGAATTCCGCTGTTTAAGTTCATGATCACATGTAGAGCAGAAGAGCAACAAGTCTAGCTGCCCATCCCAGTGACGGATGCGGATCCATGATGTTAAATCCCAGTCAAACATAAACAGGTGAAACGACCCCAGAATCAGAGAGGCTAGGAGACATTAGAGTTCCATCATAACCAGCTTATATTGCCGCTTACATGAAGAAATTGCTTCTTAGTATATTAGTAAAGTGTCATTTTTACCAGTTACCATCAACTGCCATCAACTGCCTGCTCTTTCAGCTCCTGAACATCCTGTTGGCAAATTTTACTTTATGGTGATGTAACGAAAGCTCCAATATAACCTTTAACCTACTATATATAAACAATCATTCCTTAACAAACATAACTACTTGACTTGTTATGACTATTTAATTGGTCATTTATTTGATAAAGGAAAAAACGTCGTCGACCCTAAGTTCAGGCCAGCAGCACACATCCCGCTCTGTGGAAAATCGCTCTGTGGAATGAGCTGATTTTAAGACAATTACTGCGATCGATTCACCTCAATGAGGAAAAGCGCTGGGCAGAGAGACGTGTAATGACACAACAGCACAGCCACAAATGAAAAATCAATGACGGCAGGAGCTCGGAGATATCGCAGGGCCCTTCCAGTGCCGCGTCTTCTCCTATGGACTTGGGCGTAAGCCGTGAAAAGAATCACCAGCACTACCGCCGGATTTCCCACGAAGCGATAGAAAGACTACCTGGCTCACGTTCTCATGTATATTTCAGGGCTGTGAATCTGCCATTAAACGTGCCATTCTTTGATCAGCTCTCATGGTTTCTTGTGGCATAATAGGCACTCGTCAAGCAAGCCCTGATCCACAAGCACATTCAGAACCACTGGCTTTTTCCATATATCTGTCCCCCACCTTCACGAGCGTCTGGGCTATTTGCTCACACAGCCTCACATGCAGGCAGCTACGCAGCAGATGCTAATGGCTAACAGTGTGTAGCGTAGGTGACAGACCACGTATATGATTACAGCAACTGGAGATGTGCTCGCCAACATGCGATACCTGCACGGCTCGCAAACTGCCTGTTACGCCGAAAATCTACGAGCGGCCATTTTCGACAGTTAGCGCATCCCGTGAGTCACAAAAACAAACGGGAACAATGTGCGAAACGGTCCTTTTGTCTAAATAAAGGCGGCTTTGTTCGGCGCACAAAGGAAACGTGTTTCTCGCAGAAGTTAATACAAGCAACCCGCGCGCTAATTTATTTTTAAAGCTGTGTTTTTCTGGCTTACTCAAATGCACATGCCATTTCTCGTCAAATAAACAGCCAGGAAATAAAAAAAAAAAAAATGTTTCAGTCTTAGGAAGTAAATTTTGTTTGCTACTAAGACTAATAATATATATAAAAATGAAGGGTGTGGTGGAGTAGAGTTTAGAACTGTCACTTTACACCTCTAAGATCATGGTCTCAAGGCTTGATGGTGTGTATGTGGTATACACATATAGGACTTTCAGAAAATTTACTATATACACCACATATTAGTACATACACCAGTCAAACGTTTTTGCACACACTGAGATTTTCCACATTTGTATGTTACTCACGTAACAAAATACACTCTGCTAACAAATAAATTTAAACTATGTGAGTACCATTACTGACAAGAAAATGACATATATTTGATTCATCAAAGTAACCTATGCAGTTACCTACTCTGTCATATATGTTATAAAGGAAACTTGTTTTAGTTTCACTCAACTTTCCAATGTTTAACAAGAATAAAAAATTTGCAGTTTATGAAATAAATGGAAAAGTGGTAAATAGCTGTGGTGTGTAAAGACCTTTGACTGGTAGTTTATATGGATAATTTATTTATAAAGTCATCAAGCTAACATTGACAACCTTTATTAAAATGTAAAATGTCAAAATAACGTTCCATTAACGTTACAGTAAGAACGTTCTCTGCCAACTTTGAGACATAATGTTGGCTAAAATGCTTTGAACGTTCCCTACTACTGTAGCTAAGAAGCAACTACGAAATTCAGGCAGAGTGTCATCCATCGTATCCCAGAACCCCCAGGCACGCCCTAGTCCTACGGGCAGATGAACCATACCGAGCGGGGGTTCGAGTGGCGACGGAGCTTGGGAGACTCCTTGCTCGACGGCGCCGCCCTGGAGGTGATGCAGGCATTGTTTTCCGAGTGGACCCTCTTGACCTGGCTGGCCGGCTTCTCGAAGGTGTCGAAGCCGCTCTGGGTTCGCTGCACCCGCGCCTTCCTGTCCTCAGGGATGGTGTCCAGGGGCTTGATGACCGAGTCCGTTCCCTGGCAGCTCCGTGTGGACATCTTCGTGACACATATCTGCCAAAATGAGGGGCACCGGTACAAATTAACGAATACAAACTGACAAATTAACAAATACACAGACCTACTCCATCTTCAAACTGTTTTCCAATTACAGGGCAACGGGAGTGGATACCTGTCCACTACTTACTCTGTAACATAATAACCCTTCTTGCGTGTCCAAACACTGAATCTCCTCTACTCAGGAGGTTATAATGATTTAGTCTTCAAAACAAAACAAGCTCCTAAACGCAGAGTACCTACCGGCCACTCCATGGAGAACGGGAGGAGATCTACGAGCAGCCTCAGAGTGGGCCTGAGCTTCTCCCGTTGCCACCTCAACAGATTAAATATTTAGCTACATTTCAATCAAGGTGAAAACCAAACCTAGCCCCGTCATGGAGCTGAAATCCTAATTACCCTTCTACGCCGTATCTAAATGCAGTCACCTTGCCACTGTGGACACGGTAAAGACTCAGCTGATCCCCTGTTATGCATCAACCACTTGTCTCATCTCTATTTTCCTTCTTTCAAGCACGAATGGAGACCATTCAGAGACAGCCAAAAATAAAAACCGTGCTTAAATCAATCTGCCTGATGTATCAATTCCATACAAAAATCTGATTTGGAAGGAAAATCCATGCAGCAGAGACAGAGGTCAGGTAAAGTGAACTGTGACTGACAGGGAACACATAGAAATGGCTGTATCCCATCCCTGGTACCACCTACAATGACTCATGGTGAAGTTTTCCGGACTTTCAGACCTATTTTGTTCCTAAACATAGATGGAATTCGCATGGTTAATGGTTCGTCCGGAAAAAAAAAAACATCATCTTGACACTTTATAAAGTGAAAAGAGCGCCTTTGCTGTTCTGCAAAACCAGTGAGGCCTGAAGTTCGACACTGAAATTAAACAACAACAAAAAAAAAACAATGTAAGGAGAGGCGAACCATAACGATGGCAAAACAACAGGAAAACTTGCTGCGGTGACCAGCATAAACAAGCTTTCACTGCAGTGATTTACCAAAGGACTTGGTTGATAAATCAAAAATGCAATGGATGTAGTTGGTTTGTGAGATTTACATGAATGACTAGTTTACTTTTGTTTCCACTGGTCAAAAAACTCAGAGGGCTGCTGTACTCAATGAGCATGTACTCAATGAGCATGTACTCAATGAGCATGTACTCAATGAGCATGTACTCAATGAGCATGGCCTTGCCTCTTTGCAAGAGGAGACTTCATACTGTCCATTACATCTCTAAATGACTTTCCAGTTATAAAACGCGGCATTTTGTGAAAACTGGATCCTGAGATTGCTCTACCTTCTGCTGAGAAGCCAGCTTGCCTGGGTGTCACTGCAGTCTATCTGCACTATATATAAAAAGCCCCCTTCTGCTTTAAAGTTAAGTGAAAAGCATACCAGGTTTAATGGAATGTTCCATAATCAGCATTCCCACAGCTTTCCAGAAGCTTCCACTGTGGCCAGAAGGACACAGATCAGGGAACACCTAACACTCCCTGTAATTAATCCACCAGGCATCAGACATCGGCACTTGGGAGTCTCTGCTCTCTTTCTCATCCTTAATTAGTGCCAAATATCCATGAACAACAATGTGCAGAACATCCCCCCCCAATTCACACTTAATAGCCAAATTCTCCCCCATAACAAAGAACCCATAAATGCTGTGGGTGAGACCATGCAAGCCCTAAGGACCAACAGAAACTTCGATGGATTTGCCAATGTTATATTTTAAGTCTTAACCTTGTCCCGAGTTGCACCAGATCTACAGTACAATTACCACACTGGCAATGTATCAACAGAAAGAAATGAATGAGGCAATAATGTAAGTGAGCTTACTTGCGACAGGATGATGGAGCTAAACAGTCCATAATGCTCCATCCTCAAGAGGACAACGAGCTGTGTCCAAGAGTAAGCAATGAACTAAATGAAGCCTCTGGCAATGTTAGCTAGTTAAATATTGAGAAAAGGACTAGCTGTACACAAACATGCGGACAACGAACAGAGAGAGGAATGGATGTCAACAAGAAATCAATACAGGCCTATGAGGCCTGAAAAGGAGTTTCTCTCTTGTTTTTAAAGGTATACATCACTTAAGTTATATTATACAATACAATAGCGGGGTCAATGGCACGCTTTCATGGATCAATGCTGCTTAAAGTACACTCAAGGATTAGTCAAAGAAGCTTTGAATTTACACGGCCGCTTCAATCAAGATTGGCTTGGTAATACCTGACCCTGATTAAATATGAGAGAAAATAACCAGGATTAAAGGGGCAGTTCACTCCAAAAATGAAAAAAAAGAAGTTTTACAGAGGTTTTAGTGCTATCTATCCATATAGGCTGTTCTGCTGGGAGATGCCTAGTTTTGGGGATATAACGGGAGCGGATGGCATTCTTTCTGCGGTGATTTAAGACGCCAAAAAAAATACATCCGAAAAATTCAACAGCAATGTCTCTTACCAGAAATCATAACCTGGTTGCTCAAGATAATCCACAGACTTTATAGTAAGCGGTTTAATATAGGAACTATTTTCTTCTACTGAACTACACACACCGGTTGTATCACTGCACAGAAGATACCAGCTCTCGTATCTTCTGCAAACTGATTTCTACGGCCGATATCTCCAAAACTAGGCAACTGTCAGCAGAACAACCTATGCTGGGTACAGCACTAAAGCCCCTCTAAAACATCTTTTTCAGTTTTGGGGTGACCTGCCTTTCTAACCTGAGAAAACTTCAGATATATTCGGAATGCCATCTAAAAGTGAGATATGATGTACTACTATATCATGCCACATGCCATAAATGGATAACTAGAACGATTACACAATAAACCTCTTCGCTTCAAGCCTAAATTTCTCCAAGAAGTGCCCCATCAATCCTCACAAAGGACACCTGTCCATTCAATGTATCATGAGACAATATCGGAACCTCAATTACCACTGGTCAGTTTAAATTCAGTGCTGTTATTTGCAACAGTTATTGTACAAATAAAAGATGCAGGAAGCCTAAATTTGGAATTAAGGGAGTTGGTAGCTAGGAGTAAATAAACAAACTTTATCGAAACTTTTTTGAAATCCAAAGTAATCTGTTTCTTTTCTTAATCATAAGGGGTCTGTCCTTTATTAGCCGTCAAAAAGCGAATCAATTTCATCTTCACAACAAACAGGCTAGTTTTCAGTCTGTCAGCTAGCTGCAAAATTACTGTGTGTTTTTTTACATTCATCATTGCACTGGGGCTTAATACGGGATGTCAGGACAAATTGATCGGTCTGCAGAGTATGGACACAAGATGAACGCTGATTTTAATTAGACGTGAGTACATAACATCCTCTGTGACACAAAAGGCCGCTTGCACTAAGTGCCGTCTGTCTTGGCTGTAGACTAATACGTCATTACAGGGGAAGACTTGGCAGAGACATTACTGTGAGAGTAGGACCAATATTAATGGCTAAATTGGCAGGTCTCCACAGAAATTTTTTGTCTTTTTTTGCTGTTCTACAAGCAGCACAATAAGCGAGATTAATCACGCACTCGCCGAATGGGAGCATGGTCGTGGTTTTTCACAAGGAGGACCAAACGTCTTTTGTTTCACAGCATTGCCAACCGAAAGACAACAAGATCTGGATGCACAACAAAGGCGAGAGTGAAAAAGGGATTGGGTACCGCTTTACAATGGACGGAGGTCACGTGAGGGTTTAAGGAACCCCCCCCCCTCCCCCTACATGAAGTCCTCGTCTTAAATGATGCTTGGCTGTCTACCCTGATGGGAATAAGTCCACTTCATTCCTGTGGAATCTCCGAATTATCATTAGCAGCTCCAGCTCAGTACCCAGATCTTATCTCCATATCATGATTTATCTGATTTATAATTTTTCTACCACACTTGGCATCTCTGGTGAGACATCAGAGAAATTTCGCATGTCTGGCCACAAGATAAATTAATCTTTATTGTTCCTACCAACTACTATGTCTAGAGTTGAAGATAATTATAGCATCGTCTTTATTAAATTTCACATCTCAGTACAGGATCTCTTGGTAACATTACGGTTATGGTCACTGTTTCACTTACTCAACCAGCTTCACTACTGGAATCAGTAAGTCGAATGTTCTGCAATAATATGTAGCGATTTGACTTTACAGACTCATTATTATAAATAAAACAGACTTGCACAATATGTTATACAAGAGAAGAGACATTTACAGAGAATAAAGAGCCTCACAATATCACAAATATATAAATTAAAAACATTAAAGACTGACTGTGTTACTGCATTGAACAGGAGACATTCAGGTTTGAGCAGAATTCTCAACACTAACAGCTCTCTAAATCAGGATATTTTAACAAGAATGTCCTACCGATATAGATATAAAACATTTAACATCAAAACACAGGACTTTGTGTTCTTACTGGCTACAGTTCAGCACTATGGCACTCGTACTTAGGCGTGATAACAGGAACTACATGCAGGCTTGAGAAATGTTTACAAATAAAGCAGAAAAGAAGCTATATTTTATGGGGCTGTTCTGCCCTTTCCTATGGCAAAGCATGGAGTAATTCATAGACTAGGACATGAAAGCCTCATGCAAATGACAGCAGTGAAATGGGGAGACCCCCCCGGCAAGCTGACGTGGGGAATTACCGGATTGCTGTTACTTATAGAATGAATGACGGAGACGGTTAGCATCACTGCGTGCAGCACGTGTGTGTGTGTGTGTGTGTGTGTGTGTGTGATGCCAGTTTCTCTTGCCCCAGCGCTCCCCAGTAATCTGGCTCAGCTGAAGTGCGTCGTTTTTTCTGAGCACCTCTGCAAGACGGCGAGGAATCGCGCTCTGCGCTCTGCTGGGGATAAGGCAGGCAGCCACGGACACACTGAGTGCGGAACCCGGAACCAGCACCCTAACCAAGCCCCCCCCCCCCCCAGCTTTTACAGGGCTGTTTGACCGGGCTCTCTTACCCCTAATCATGCCGCCACTTCAGCTCCTTCCAAACTTGGTGTACCAAGGAAACCCGAACCATAAATAGTTTCATTTGGGCTGTGAGACCTGAGGGCCCCCAGCAGATGGCATCAATGATGACGGGGTCCCTCGGGGCACGTGTCCGAGGGCAGGCGGTGACGCTGAGTGTTGGAGTATGCCGGCGAAGTGGCACCTTTCTCCAAAAAAGCGTGAGTGCCTCTGAAACGCTGATGCCCGCCGAGCCACGCCTGCCCCTCTGTTCCCCGGACCCGTGCACACACCCTCCCCANCACTGCAGGGCATACAGCACGGGTACACCCCAGATGGGATGGCAGTGCACTGCAGGGCACACAGCACAAAAACACCCCGGATGGGATGGCAGTGCACTGCAGGGCACACAGCACAAAAACACCCCGGATGGGATGGCAGTGCCATACAGGGCATCCAGCATGGATACACCCCGGATGGGATGCCAGGAAAAAACCCTGCAATATGGACAGACCATGCAAATGCCACACACAGGGACCATCAGCATCATCATCCATCCATCCATCCATCCATCTATCTTCTATCCACTTTTCCTGGCCAGTGTCATGAAGGGTTCCTTTAGATTTTATCACCTTATGGAAGAAATCTGTACAATTTCCACTCTGTTGACTGTACATTAGTGAGTCTTCCATGCGATGCTGGGAGCAGCAAACTCACGCACTGCCCATAATCATCCCCACGAGACGAGAGAGAGAGAGAGAGAGAGAGAGAGAGACTGACATGTGGGAGTTCGACACCAGATTTAAAGGCTGGGCTGTAGCTGCAGAGGTAAAATCCCAGAGGGTGCAGAGAGAAACACACCATTAAACTGAAAAACGCACAGCTGTCATCACTGGCAGTGACAGGGATCTCTGCAGCTTCCACGCTTCCCAGCACCGTTTGTAATAAACACTG